AAAATTTGTGAAGCTGTGATATTAGAATCCCATGAGACATATTAGAATAATCCAATGCCATTTACTGTTTGATGTATTTTTTTTTCTTCAGGCAAATTTAGCTCTTTAAAGAATGTTCTTAAAATATTGAAGATAATTCAGACTTTCTAGCATGTATCAGTTCTGCCATGCATCATCATTGCAAAAACAACATGAGAACATAAAAAATAAAATAAAATACTATCCTAGGCTAGTTTTACATGTGAACTCTCATTTGTGGCAAAAGCATCTTTCATCCTCAGTGAGACGGTTAGAACTGGCTGAGAACCTTAAGGACTGTTAAGATGATTCAGAGCCACACTTAATATTTGCTCCAGTAGCATCTTGACAAACATTTTAATTTTATATCTCTCAAGTAAGCCCATAAAACAGCATGATCTAAAAATTCTTAACAAATATATTAATAAAAATTTAAACACGCACGGATTCCTTCTGCTGCTATGAGTTAATTACATAGTAATATTGCTTTGTGTACACCTTAATTAGATTAAATATTGATCAGTGCACTTCCCATTGATATTTCATTAACACACAATAACTGTCTTGTTATAGCTAAGTGTAACTTTAAATTACATTAAAAGTCTGGCTTGAAATGAAAAGTTATGGAAAGATATACAAAGCAAACCCTTTGGAACATAAACGGTGCTGGGAAACTCAGTCTATGAATTAAAGCAGGGAGGAAAAATTAAACTCACCTATTAAGCGTATAAAATAATTGGATAAAAGAACAACAATCCACAATAATTTTTTCCATAGGCTTTCAGTTGTAATATCAGTCACACTAAGTTTTTCTATCACTCTGTGCTAAGGAAGAGTTTGTGAAATATTACAATTGTTGCCAAGGATTATGCTCTTTGTTTATTTCAAAAGGAACCTAGGTTTTTAACAGCATCATAGATTTCTTAGCATGTGATTAAGGCTGTTTATTTTCATGCTGATGAGCTGTGAGCAGTTTCAATGGGGAGATGCGTAATTTTCCCATGGTCTGGAAAATAATTCATGGCACTTTTATGTTGTCATTAACTGTCACATCTCTTGAGTTAAATATGAGCCCTGTCATTTGGAAGTCAGAAAGTGGCTCCTAAATTTCTCAATTTCATTAGCAATTGATTCAAATCATTTCCCGAAAATAGTCTGAATTGACATATGAATTGTAGTGGTTCCTCAGCTTGGTGATTAATTAATCAAGCCATCAGGTTCGCATTAAACTATTTATCAATCTTACGATTTCCTGCTTTTCAGAAAAAATTAAAAAGCACTCTAATGATACTTTATGAGTTTTGAGAAAATTAAAAATGGAGCCAGAAAAAGTAGTCTGTCCTTCCTCACCCAGAAGCTGAAAGACACACAAAAGAGATGGAGCTGGAATCTGCCCAGGAAGACAGTAGAGTCCTCCCTGTGTACCTCACTTCCCTCATCTGCAAAATGAGGGAAGCTAATAACTGAATTAAATAGGCTCTCGTTTTTCTCTTACTTTTAAAATTGTGCTAGCCCATGGGAAAAAAATAGGGTGTCATTGTTATTTTTATTTTTATCACTTTGCTGTGTGACCATTGTTTTTTCATTTAAAAAAAAAATTTTCAAGACAGCCTCAACAACTCCAAATTGAAGTTCAATTAATGTCTTTGGAGCTGCACTGGCCACTGCTCTGCCATTTGCTTCTGAAATACTGTTCTCTGCAAACAGCTGTCTCATCTGTGTGGGTCTCTTTCTATTGAGCTACTGTGACCAGGACCCATAGTCCTTTGCTTCAGTCCAGAATGACACTATCAACCGCTCCAAGATTGGACCACCTCAAAAGCCATTTGTTGACTGAGAAAACTGCTGGCAAAACATCAAGTTGTTTGCTTATTTATTTTCACTCAGACTTTGTACCATTCAACTAATAGCCGGTTCTTTTCAAAATAAATGACTCACTAACTGAATTCAGCCCTTTTCTCTTTCAAATGTGCTGCATGTGTAACCTCACAATGAATGTCTCATTCAACCCAAATCCCCTTGTTATTTACAGAAAACTCAGGGTTTTCTCTTAAAGCTAACTGTATTTTAAGTGCTAGACTTCCTGTGGTATTCTAGAACAGAGTGTAAACCACACAGAAATGACCCTAAGTGTGCAAAGACAGATGATATCTGAGAACTTTGTAAGCCCTCTCCTCCACCCCTGCGTGCAGTGCCCAGAGAAACCTAAGAGTTTGTGTTGTCCACAATGGCAGAGGAAGCTTCATGGCTTACTCCCTTCAGCCAGGGTGGCTGTCAGAAACTCAAACAGATGAATGGAAATGAAATGTTTTACTGTTCCATTCTTTTTATCCTTAGGGAGCACAGGGGTGGGCTCACCCCCAGAATCCATAGTACCCAGAGAAGGGCCCTTGCTCAGCCTGAGAGAGAACTGCATTGAAATTACCCCAAAAGTGCTTCCCTTGGAACCTGCATGGATGTGTTTTCTCTTTGAGAAGGAGCAAGGATCAGCCATCTTCTGCTGGCCTTTGGGTCTGGGATCCATCGTGGACCATTGCATTTCTGAGATCCCATGACCTCTATTCCTGTGACCCATGTGGATATCTTATGGACTAAGAGAATAAGACCCAGAGCAACCTGCCCAAGGACAAAACACTTTTTAAAACGTCTTTAAAAATTTTATTATTAATTGACCAACAAATTCTGCTTATAATTATGAGGTATGGTATAATGTTTTGATTTAGGTATACATTATAGGATGATTAATAAAGCTTAAATGAACATACCTATTACCATACATACCTACCCTTCTTTTAACTTTAAAAATACCTTATCTATATAGCTGTGACCTACAAGGGAATGGGATAAAAATGACATTACACAAAGGGTGTTAGCTCCACAATCCTACGAAAGACATTACAGTCAGACTTTATCACCAAAAGAAGCTGAGACGCAGCTGCAAAATTGGAAAGCAAAATATAGTTTATCACATAGTCACAAAGTCATGCTCCTTTTTGGAAAAATACTGTCTGTAATCTTTATTTCATCAGCTCTGATTATCATATGGATAGTACAATAATACTGCATGTTTTTTACATAAAAAGTTCATTTGCTTTGGTGCAAGTGTGTAAAAACATAATGGGACTTTCACAGCCCTGTTACAATATTTCATCTTTTTTAGCTTCCACACAACCAGGACCTCAAGATAATGTAGAAGTCCAGGAGGCTCTGGACTTCTCTGAAGCATCCTTCATCTTAATGTCTATGTTGCCGGAGTCCCACCCTATGGGAAGATAAAGCCTGTTGTGAAAGGAGAATAACCCATGGGAGAGGCACATTAAAAGTACCAAACAAATGCCCCAAGGCCCGTTACAGCCTTGGTACCCTGCCAAGAGACACCTGCAATTATGTTACTAAAGAGAAAGAAAAATCCCTTTCCTTTAGGTCGTATCCTACTCCTGCTATTTGGTTATAAAGCACTTGTGATGCATTGCTATCCAGAGCCCTTTCTGGAATATGCCATGCTTTCAAATCCTGGGCTAGCACAGCGAGAATGGAAAGGAATTGCATTTGCAAATGTCAGCCTACCTCATCCATCTCCCCTCATTCAAACAATACGCATACGAGGTTCAGCAATCGGAGTTATATATTTTTCCTTAATGTTGTTGTAAGGTAATGGTTCTCTTATCTGAAATTCATCAGCCTGCTATAAATTTAAACTCCATTACTGCCAATAGAGAAAAGCTAAGCACCAAACCACTTTCAATAAATTTGCACTTATGCAATTGAACTGATACGGCCTCAGAGGAAAAGGTGAAACTCGTCTTGAGATATTTAAGTTAGTCTGAGTCACTGCTTCGTCTGGTGTTAAATTGGATCCATCGAGAAATGTAGGGCAGCACTCATCAGCCCTGAGTTATAAGAAGAGATTTCAGCCTGAAAAAAAAAAAAAAATGTCTCCAGCATTCATTATTAGATGGCATAATTTTAAGAAACCACTGGCTCGCTCTGTTACTTGGCACAACTAAATGCTACAAATGGAAACCCTGATGGATGAATATTTTTATGAACAACATTAATCAAGATCAGGCCAGCCCAAGCCCTGGAGATTTGTCATGTCCAGTCTTGAAGCTGTGAGGATGTCTATACACTCAGAGCAAAGAGGGTAATTACTAACATTTGCATGGCTCTTCACCATGTACACAAAACAATGTTTTTAGTTAAGCAGTCCCCCTGGCTACAACAATTGTTACCGGCTTCTGTTTCTGATGAGGTATTTGAGGCTCAGATATGTGAAACCACTCCCTTTCTGAGTGGGGGGCAGCTGTACCTCCATGGTTTTGATAGCAGCAGGTCAAGAAAACACTCAATTCAGCAGCCTCAAAAGGCCTTCTAGACTCTCTTGGTGAAAAGAGCATCTTAATCACAAGCTAAAAGAAGAAGATGAGGCAGCCAGAGTCACTGCTGTAGCTTCCTTAGAGAAGAAGCTTCCAGAGGCCACCTATCTGACGCAGTGCAGCACTGGGGAGTGTGGGGGTGTCTGCTGGTTAATTAGACTTGGGAGCTTGGCAAGCAGAGGTCGGGGCGGCTAACTAGTGATTCTTCTCTATTAAGAAGCAGGTTTTGAGATTTAGAAATTTGAGAGGCATTCTGTTTAGGGTGGGAAAAATTCTCTGATCTCTCTGCAGACTCAAGCATGGGTGGTTTAATTCCCAGGATGTAATAAACATGGTAGAGATTGTGGGGGCTGAGCTGTCAGACACACGGTGTCTACACATACATCCAGCCTCTCAGGCCTTCCCAAGTCCGCCTTCTGCCCCCAGCCCCACTGCCCATTCTAAGGCCCAAACTGGCATCACATACCAGTTGCAAGAACTGAACAGCATTTGCTCTTAATTGGACGAGATACATTATTCATGAGGCTGGAGTCTGTGATGATTTTGGCATTCATTAGGGGGGAAAATGGGGCACTAGTTTTCGTGGTACAAAACATTCCATATTAAACTTCATTTGCAGTCCACTTTTCAATGTGAGAAATTAGAAACGCTTTTAAGCAAAGTTACGAACTATAAAACAGCTGGGAAGCAAGGAACGACAACTTTAAAGAGGAGGAAAAAAGCAGTAAGAGGTGAGATTTTTCAAGCTCTGAATATAGAAGAAAGTGTCAGCCTAAAATTCAAATACTGCTAATGAAAATGAAAGTATTTGTGTGATTATAAATATACTAATATTGTTCACTATGTAATTGATATGTAAATATGCATTACGTATCATTGTAGATTACACATATATATGGTTATATATTTAGTAAATAAAAATATAGCCCCTTAATATTTATTTCAAGGCACTGCATGAGTTATGAGTGTTTATTCATTCTATCTTTATTTTTCCAAAATAAAGGATATTATCTCTTGAGAGATAAATGAGAACAAATTTAGGGGTTGATGACACCTTTCATCATTGCATTTAGTGTAAATTTTAAGAGCTCCCAGACGAGTAGGAGTTTAAATCTGCTTTTTTCCCTTTTCACAAGGGTATCTAGAATTTCAGAATCGAGATGATCTAAATCAATCTATTTTGAAATGAAGAAACTGAGACAGAATTAAAAATCTGGAAAATCTTGTGTGTCAGTGACTAGGAGGTATCAGGTCCTACCCTGCCTATGTGGCCAAAGATCTCCTGTAACCAATGGCTTAAAATCGAATAAACCTGGGGCTGGGGATTTAGCTCAGTGGCATAAGCCCCTTCCTTGCAAGTGCAGGGTCGTGAGTTTGATCCCCGGTACCGATTAAAAAAAAAAATCTTCTTAAAATCAAATAAATCTGGTTCCAAACACTGTAGGATCTTAGGCAAGTTTTTTTCATCTCATTAAGCCTCAGATTTCCAATTAAAAAAGAAGGAAATCATTCACTTTTATTTCTTCAATTAAAAATGAAGTTAAATAGCACCTTTTTATTATATGATTCAGAGAAGATAATTCAGATTGTTTTACAACAGTCCCTGGCATGTGCTAGGCCTGCATAAAAGTTTGTCTTTGGTTTTTTGGGACAGGGTCTCACTAAGTTGCTAATGTGCCCCGGCTTGGCTAGAACTCACAATCCTCTTTCTTCAAGCTCCCCGAGTGCTTGTATTTCAGGCACTTTCTCCCACTCCTGGCTTATCTGTCTTTTTCTTACAGTGACTGAAAACACTCCCTGATTGGATATTCTTTCTTCTTACTACTTTTTAGTTACTGGGCATTAGAAGCATTTGTTTAATTCCCTGATTGATCCTGATTTCCTTAGATCAGAGTTAAAGTTAGCCTTTGATTTCTTAGTATCTGGCCCTAATTCAGTAGGTGCTCAGTGATGTTGCAGATTGTGGTCTACATGATAGAATTATTTATAATGTGTAGATGTTTCCCATTCCTTTCATAGGTACCTGCCATCCAAAACCAGTGCTCACTGTGTTTTCATGTTGCTAAAAAATCCTATTTACAAAAATTAACAAACATTTCTCCCCTTAATTTCATCTGAAGTTCACACAAACCCAGCAGGCAGGCAGGTACCACAGTTCTCCAGTTTCACAGAGAAGGAGATAGCACTGGGATGTGTGTGTGTGTGTGTGTGTGTGTGTGTGTGTGTGTGTGTGTGTGTGTGCAATGATGCAGTGATTGACCTGAGGTCCAGCCATTGAAGGGTTAGGGCTGGAAAACTATCTTGGGGTGAGTATCTGCAGTCATGGGCATCTATTCACAGCCCCTGCCTCTGAAGTAGAGTCCTTGTCTGCTGTTTCTGGTTGAATTCCAGACACAGGGTGCCCTCAGAGGAGCAGGATGAAGACCTGGGCTAGTTGCTGAGCAATTCATATGAGCAGGTCTCAGATCAGGAAGAGAGTGATTGCCTGTCACCAGGGATGTGAAGAATAGCTCAAGGAGCATATCGTAATAATAGATGAAATTTCTTTGAAGTTTCCCATTAAAATTCATGTTTATTTGCATACAACTTTAAGGTGAATGCATGTTTATTTTAGGCACAGTTACCCCCTTAAATCTTAGTAAAATAGGAATTCCAAGAGCAGGTGGCATGCTTTGTCTACTGCTCAAGATGCCCACAGCCCACAAGCTGTGCAGCCAGGTCAGGAAGGAAGCTAAGCAGGGCTCTCTTTCCCTGCACTAACCCCAAACCTCAGGTCAAGCCAGCTGTGTGACGCCCCCAGCGTATTATGATCAGCACATAGCTAATGGGCCTTAATGAAGGTTTGCAGACAGACAACGTGACTGCCCTGTGCGTCAATTTTCTTAAGGAACTGCTAAGGGTGCTCGCCTCCCCACAAAAGCCCAAAGAGCCGCTGAACTCATTTCTCTGCTGTCCATGTGTATTAATCCTGTTTCTGTAATGAGATACAGAGAGAAAAAGAGGAAGAGGACTGATGGGGAGTCAGATTGGGCCTGATGAGTTATGGAGCCTGCCTTCTCATCAACGATGTAAAACAGCCCAGGCTCTATTTACTGCCGCTGTCAGCAGGATCGATCAATAACATTTTCAGTGACATGAAGTGGGAAAGCGTGAGCTCAGTGAAATGAAGGAGAGTCAGAGGTAGGAGCAGATAATGCCCCTTTCTTTTCCTGCCTTGGCAGGAGTCACCTGTTTGGCTGGCAGTAGGATCAAAGTCATACATTTGATTTGACTTTTAGGGAGAGAAGTAGACATATCCCCTAAACGGCAGGGGGGTATTCCACTGAGAGGACAAAGAAGAGCATGATCCTTTGTCATGGTAACTTCCCTCTCTAGACAGCACCTCTCCCATCCAAGCTGGCCCCTGCCCACGATGGACAATGCCTTCATGTGCTTGGGCTCTTTGGAGGGAGGGCAATTTTTTTTTTACTATTTATGCATCGAAAGGGTCCAGGGATAAGTTGGAACCCATAGAAGGCATGTTTGCAAGATGATGTAAGAGGGTGCTGATATTAAGCAAGGTGTCCACAACTACAGGGTTAGGTGGAGGTAACATAATTGCACAATTTCCACACTAAAGGAATCTCTAAAGTCACCTTGGCCAAACTCCCACCAAACATGAGAACCATCTCCTTAGCACATTGGAGGAGGCTGACCCAGGCTCTGACCACAGTGAGATCACAAAGTCCAAAGGCAGTGCTTCCTAGGGGCCCCCTGGCTGCAGACTGTCTACCTTGGGCCCTGTGGCATTCAGGGGGCCAGGGTGAGGTACCCAAAGCCTCATAGATAGCCTCTCACCTTTTGGCCTTTGCTTTATACTCAGCTGTGTAAGGAGCCTTTGCCAAAAGAGCAAGCAAGGACATACTTCAGGTTTGGTGAACAAAGTGATTTTGAGGCCTTCAGTTGCACGGATTTTCCTTTTTCCCTGACATTTTATTAGCATGTTCATTTGGACTAAAAGCCATGGGAGGTAGAGAGTGCTTTATAACTTCTGTCTGATTCAAAGTTAGTGTGGTATTTAAAAGTTTGGGCAGAACCAATTGTATTAGTTTTAGAATTATTTTGGGAAGAGAAGGCAAGAGAACTAACGAAGCCAATAGGCTAAGGGGGAAGAATAATGGCAGGTATGAAGGGGAGAGACGGATTAAGACAAATGAATATGGCCGGGTGGGGAGAAACAGGAAATAGGAGAAGAGAAAGATAAAAGAAGGGGCCTGGAGAAAGAAAGGGAAGAAGGGGAAAACTGGGACACCATTCAGCAAATCTCTGCTCTTAATATCTCTGCTTCGAATCTAGCAACACTATTATTTGTGCGGAAAACTTCACCAAAGGAGTCCTTTAGATACTGTGTTGAAAAATTCCAAGACTACAATAAGGAGAATAACTCCATGTTCCGATTTCTGATTCCAAGTATCGGTTATCCTTTCGAGGGAATTCAGTGAAATGCCTAGGACTTTGACTCCCACATCAAAACCAAATCTTGGTTGATTTCTTGATGGCAGTCATTCTGGAGGGAGATGGAATCTCAAGGCTGTTCTAATTTGCATTTCTGGAATGACCAATGATGTTGAACATTTCTTCATGTATTTACTTGTCATTTATATTTTTTCATCTGAAAAGTGCAAGTTCACCTCAGATGTCCACTTTTGGATTGGATCTTTGAATTTGATGTTTTTCAATACTTTATATGTCCTAGATATAAGTCCTTTGACTGAGGGGCAGGTGGTTGAAATTATTTGTGCTGTGAGGAAAGAGGAACACTTCTCCAGTGTTGCTGGGAGTGTACATTGGTACAACCATTATGGAAATCAGTGTGGGTATTTCTCAAAAAATTTAGGATTGGAAGTCCCATTCAATCCAACTATTCCCCTTTTGGGTATTTTCCCAGAAAAACTGAAAACATCATGCCACAGTGATTTTAGCAGCACAATTTGTATTAGTTATGTCTTGGAAACAACCCAAATGCCTGTCAACCAGGGAGTGGATAAAAAGATGTGGAATTTTTATGTAATGGAGTACTACTTAGCTATCAAGGATAAATTTGAGGCTTTTATAAGTAAACAGATGCAACTTGAGACCATACTAATAAGTGAAGTAAATCAAATTCACATGTGTAAATATTGTATTGTCTCCCCACTGCAAAAAAAAAAAAAAAAAAAAAAAAAAAACAAAAAAACAAAACACTGAAAGGGTAACAAGATTCAAAATGCATGATAGATACTATGAAAATGAAAGGGAAAGAAAGTACTCAAAACAAAAGGACAACTGGGATAGGGGAAAGGAAGAAGGGAAAAGATTATATGCATATACGTTTATATAGATTGTATATACGTATATCAAGATAAATAACTATACTACTAATCTGTGTAAGTTCATTTAAAAAAATTTTTTGCTCTCATTGATTGATCTTTTTTTTTAATTCCTAAATCTTGTAACCTGAACACCTAAGGTAACAATATGCACATTACATTAACTAGTGTTAATTTCCTACTATTTTTTTAATTCTGCATAATTTCTATGTTTTGCTTTGTTTTTGAAATAAAAAAAAAAAAACTGAAGTCTTTTTCGTTATAAGTAATACACAGGGCTTACTAGGTGGCATGGATTAATAGTAGTGTAACAGTATCAATGGCATGTGTATCAAATTCACATGCCAAGCCGATGACATTGGGGTCATCACCATCTCTATGTTACCAAGAAACTAAGAGGCTGAATAACTTTCTAGGGCCAGATGATCAAAAGTGTCCTTCCCAGTTTGATCCCAAGCTACCTGCCTCTGGGGCTTGGACACTTGACTGTCTTGTGAGTCTGCCTCTCATTTACTTCAGAATCATTCATTCATTCAGCAGATATTTATTGAGTGTGTACTATATGTCAGTAACTTCCACAAGGACCACCTGGGCAGAAGGGCGTTGAGAGAACGGGCACACAGTCTGATTTGTAGGACATTGTTGCGATGGTGAGACCTTACAGCAGACAGAAATTGCTTGACCATTTGTCTCCATACTGTGCAATGCGTAAGCAAGCCATGGCCAGGAAGACTTGCCTCGCCAACAAGCGCTACGTGAAGCATATGTGTGTTGCTGACCTAGGCACCATGCTCTAAACATCACTGGGCTAGAGATTACTCTAAGTAGAAAAAACAGAGAGTGAGACCTATGATAGGGTCTGATTGAAAGATTTCTAGGTGAAGAGGCAGGAGGAGAAAATGTCTCCAGTCTGCCGGCAACAAACCATACACTGAGAAATAGAGGTAAGTGAACAGTATGATTCAGAAGAAGCAATGTAGGACAGATGAGTTTCACAGAGTCCTCTAGGAGGTCACTTCCTGCTCCGAATCTCACTAGAGTACGCACAGTGTTCCTGGTTTCTAAAAAGTGGAATCATTTTTTGATATGAAGGGCAAATCCGACTGCTAATCATTTATCTGTGCTTCTTCCATTTTCTCTTGCAGAATTTACTCCAGGCTTGGCTGACTGCAAGTTTCTTCTGTAGCTTGACACTAATAAACACACACAAGCATGATTGTTTCTGTAATAAGGTCGCTTATGAAGGCCGTAGAGGCAGTGGTCTCTGCAGAGAACCTTGAGAGGAACTGGTAAGTTCCACTATCTGCCCAGTTCCACTATTGATAGCACTCATTTGTCTGAAGCTGTTGGGTCACCACATGGCTCCTATTAATATGCAAGTGTGTACATGGAACAGGTCATTTATTACTACCTTAATCTTCATGAAGATGGCTTTAGGGAGAATTTTATCAGATTGTATAGTTGTCAACTATGTCCTGAGTTGGGGTTGGGGGAGCAGAGGGTCTTAGTGTTCCTTGATGGAGGGCTCCCCCCACATAGCAACCACTGCCCTTTTTGGTTAGTAGACTATGACAGATATGATGCATAGTTATGTGCAGCATGCTCTATATACATTGGATTTGATACCCTTTGATTAGTTAGTCATTTCATCCTTATGATAGTTACCTGGACTAGGCATACACGCTCTCTCCAGGACAGCTTTATGGCCCTAATCACTTATGGGGAGAACCATACCTTAGGTACAGAATGTGAGAGCAAGTTACCTAGATGGGTGGTCCTTGTGAACAAGCAAACTTGCAGAATAAAAAATGATGGATGAAGCAAAGAAAGTGAAATGGAAGAGAGGAATAAGAACAGAACCAAAGGGCAGTCCTGAAGTACCAAGTGTAAAATTCCGTCCTGCCAGGCTGTGGGTGAAGATCCAGTTGGAGAAGAGTGGACTGAGTTTATGGGTCAGAGAGCTTAGTGGTGGGTCCAACAGGGATAAATGACTAACCCACTTCCTAAATGAGTTTCTAGTATTCTGTTCTAGAATGGTATCATGGGAAAAAACTTTCATCAAGATTGTAAAACAAATAACCAAAGGAGGGGCGGATATTGCCAGACAACATCTTAGGTCATTGTCTGTTGCTGCCACGGAATACCTGGAGCTGGATAATGTATAAAGAAAAGAGATTTATTTCAGCTCGGAGTTGGTAAGCGTGAGATGTTTAAAATCAGGATACCAGCATTGGCTCAGCTTTGGATGAGGATTGTGTGCTGCTTCAAGTCGTAGCAGAAAGCAGAAGTGTGTGTGTGAAAGAAGCGAAACATGAAAGTGGACTTGCGTTAGACCAAATAAATGGCTCTTGGGAGAAAGGGCGGCTCCTTGTAAGAGCCTAATTTTGCCTATTATGGGTCTTACTTCCCAACAGTGCCACCTTGGCACGTTGCGAGGAGCTCTTCAGAGCAGGCAAACGACATCCAAACCACTGTCTGTAAGAAGAAAGAAAAGTAGGTGTTACAGCTTTGAAATATGAGCAACTAACTGATTGTTTTTTCTTCTGCCAAGAACTCTGCTTCATGAGTACCTTGCTGATCCTGGCAGTGAGTCTGGAGCGATGAGGGAGTAGGATCCGAGGAAGGGTGACTTACAGCATCTTGATGCTCCCGACCATTGTGACTGCTGCTGGTGCACCGAGGAACTCCTCCTGTAAGATCTGGGGTCACAGGACCGAATGAACTTTTCCCCTCATCAGCTGTGGAAAGGAGGACCAGCGGTGTTTTCTCCCTCTCCCACCGCCTGATGAATGTCAGGCCCCCAGCTTGTTAACTGCTGATTTGGCCATCATTAGGCCCCCGCTCCAGCTGACTGCCCATTTATCCTGGCTTCACACATCACCATGCCAACGGAGGATGGTGTATAGGTATTCTCCTATTATGCTTAAGTAGCACTTTGGAACATGTTTCAATTTAAGGTGGCACACAAATCTAACTTCCCTCATCCTTTAATTTGACTCAGTGGTAGCACTATGGGAATAACAGACAATGCACAGCCTATTAGCAATTATCCAGTGAATCACTGCTACAGTCTGTCATCCTGGTGCTTATTTAATGCAGTCTCTTACGGCCTAGTAGAACATTGCCTATCTGCTGGGCTCTGCCTACTGATCCCTGTATAGCAGGCACATCCAATGTGGCACGTGAAATATGCCTGCATCCTCCTAAGGAAATATCTATAAATATAAGGTATAATAGCCAAACAGTAAACAAGGATGATCCAACAGATTCTTCTCCAATAAAACAGTCGAACAAAGATGACTCAGTAGATTCCACTCCAATGTACATAGTTACTGCATTTTAAAAATCACTAAAGGGAACTGTGAAAAGGTGCTTGTATGAGCTAGGAACAGTGCTTTAGCTCTTGAGTATCTGATAAGAGAAAGAGAGGATGAGAGCTTGCAGTCGGTCACTGGACCAGAGCACACACATACACACACACAAATCTTCATTGACCTTTATGTTATTGAAGTCATAACGATACTTTTTATGTTAATTTGATGCTTCAATAAGTAAAAACAGATAGAATCTTCAGAAAATTGAAATTTGTCTATATGCACTGCCTATTCACTCACATGAGAATCTAACCTAGATTTGTAAAATAAATATATATATGCATACATAAGTATGTATATATAAATACATACATGGTATAAATATATATGCATGCATACATACATGTGTATATATTCAAGGATATGTAAGTATGTAATATATAAGTGTACATATTATATAAGTATATACATAGGTAAATATATACACCATATATACACCTGTGTGTGCACACATGCATTCATGTGATAAATAGCATATATTTATGTCTATATCTGTGTTTATGTCTACATAAATGTATGTCCCAAGGTCATCTATGAATATTACTGATCCAGATGAATAAGAGACAGACAGACAGACACACAGATAGATGTATAGATGGAATGAAAAGCTAGCTCTCATCCTCCTGTGTTTTTGACCTTATTTTGGGACACCTTTTTTCAACTCATAGCACACTCATCCATGAACAGTCTTAGAAAACTGCCTTGTTTACATTCCTTTAAACTTTTCAGTTGGCTATGGTTCAGCTTTATTCAGTAATCATGTGTCATTCCTGAATTATTAAGATCATTTTTATTGAAAGTAATTGCTATTTTTTGGTTAAACCAGACAATGAATTCTTCGTGTTTATTTAATCTAGTTTGAAGCAGGTGATGTAATACACAGCATTAGATACTTTTGGATCCAGGTACTCAAGTGATTATGTTAGGGATCTATTTTTTAATGCGTATCTTGCCATCTTGGGATTCTCTGGTCTACACAATTGCATTGTTTTCGGGTGAGGCCATCTGGGTGGTAAGAGAGATTTCTGAAGGGTATAGGAGGGTGAGAAGCAGAGAATCACCATATAAGATGGGAACTGGAAGTAGAAACCACCTCTTCAGTTTATGAGTATCTATCTAGGTGACTTGATCATATAATCATGGCTTTCAATGTCTCCACACTTAGGAGCCTCCAAACCCCTACTGCACTACTCAGGGCTCGGTTACTTTTTCAGCCCTACTCAGCTTCTAAAATTATAGTGGATGTGGTTTAGAATTTTTCCAGGAAAGTTATGAGTCAACAAGGCCCCAGGAGATAAAACAGTTCCATGGCTAACAAGTCTTTAAAAAGGCAGTAAAAGATGTACATGTGGACTCCATTTACGACTCTTAGAAAAAAGCCAAACTTTCTTTGCACACTTAATAAACATCAAATACATAATGAATACCTATAAAAATGGGCTTGGCTCATGACCATTGGCTAGACCCTTGGCAGGAAAGAAATATGTCATCAGTATTGTCACTGAGCATGAACTTTTCCTACAATGTCATATGGCGTGGTCCACAGTACTTGAATGCTAGGCAAGACAGACTTGTGACAGTAACGTCAAGTTACCCAATCTCTGTGAGTTTGGTTTTTCCTTTACATTAAAGCATGCTTATCCTCACACCAATATTTATTTGGTGAGACCATGATAAGGATGAGTTGTTTGACACTTTGAAGGTCATGAGAAATACAAACTCTTCTTAATATTGTTAAAGACCTGCCTTCTCCATAGGGTTAACTTTTGAAGTTGTAATTTTTATTACCTGTACAATGGGTAAGGCTAAGCATCCAGTTATCTATCAATATCCACCCTGCTCTTCTTCCTGGGTAACATAATTTTGGTAGAGTAGCAAGCAGTAGGCCATGGCTTTGAAAAGCCCCAGGTTTCCTTAGAGAGAGTGATAGCTGAGATGTAAGTGTAAATCATTAATAGTAAAGAGGAATAATCTTAAAGGAGGCTGTATTAATCCATTTTGTGTTACTAGAACAAAATGCTTGAGGCTTGACACTCATAAAATTATCTCACAGTTATAGATATTCAAAGATGACAGACTGCTTGCTGGCAGAGTCCCAATGCAGTGCAGGGCATCCCATGGCAAGAAACAAGAACACACGTGCCCGTCTCTTCTGCTCTCTCTGCTTCTTGTTACAAAGCCACCAGTGCTGGATCATGGAGGTTCCACCCCTATGACCCCGTCTAACCCTAGTCACCTCCCCAAAGCCCTTACCTGTAATACCACGGACCAATTCTACCCTCTTCATACCTCACAGTGGATTAAATGTTGACACAGGTGCCCGATCCAGAGTAGGGGCTGATCCAGCTGAAAACCACACTCTTTTGCCTGTGTTTCGCTTTCTGTCTGTAATTAGGAAATGACATCTTTAGCCTCAGGAACTATCTTGGGTTCATGGAGAAAAGGTGAAGAGAGCTGCTGAGACTTTGGCTCTGAGCTGTGGAAACAGTGCCAGGGACCACTTACATTTGGATTTCTTGTTACCTGAGAAAATAATGCAATACATAATTGTGTAAGATTTTTTTTAAAAGAATTCAAAAGGCAATCTGTACATAGCACTCATTGCAAAATCCACGTTACCCAATCTTTGACCGTTTCATGGTGCGGCTTTGTTCCTACAAAGTGTCAGCGGAAGGTTTTCTCCAGCTGTGTCATAACTGCCACTTGATTGACAACAAATGTAAGCTGCAATTGATTTATAAGATGTACCCAATTTCTGAAATGTCAGCATGGGAAAATTATTTATCTTGGAATCAGTGAAATAAGAAGACTAATGGCTAACATTCATAGAGCAGTTCTTATTAATATATCTAAGGGTGTTAACACACTGTCAGTTACATGGAATTACCCCAAGTGCAGTGTAGTTTCTTCCAAGGCAGCCTCTTTCAACAAAGATAAAAGGCAGTAAGGTCCAAGTGGTGGCCACAATGAACAGTTATTGTTTTTCCACACACAGAACCCAAATACGAATTTTGGAAACATTATGAGCTTTGAAGCAAACAGTCTTTTATGGGGAACCCAACAAAGATGGTCTCTAATTCAAGTTGACTCTCCAGAGTAGGTCTGATTAATGGGCTAGAATTAGTGCTGTTGGGACAGACTAGTTCATTGAAATATTCAGAGTCTCCTATCAATGTCACCCTCCACCCAGGCCTGGTGGGGAGGCAGCGTTTCCATGACAATGCAGTACATTTAGTCAGCAGCACCTCCCGAGTAAACAGTAATCCTTCAGAAAAACAAGAAGGTCATTACAGCAACTTGTCAAATCAATGCAGAGGGTGTCAGGGCCGATTAAGGCATCTTCTCTCGCAGCTGACACAGTGTCAATAGTACTGGGCCACCACTGCTCAGGCAGATGATTGAAGTGAAGTGCCCATCAGTCAGGGCGTTGAGGTGAACTAACGATTCCCCGCGCTGCCTATTAGAGCTACATGACAACTCAATCCAGCTTGCTGGCAAAGAGAGAGAGGGAGAGAGAGAAGGGAAAAAATAGTGACCTTGTTGCTTTGTTTGAAGCTGAATTAAATTGACAAGAGCAGCTAATCTTTACCTAGGGCGATTAACAGAATTAAGGACCACAACAAAGGCACCCAAGGTTTTAACATCTATGCAAGAGCTCAGGGATGTTTATGATATAAGGAGCTCTCTTTGAGTATTCAGGTAAGATCCAGATATATATTCTGGGCCAAGTGTTCTCCAAATGAAGCGTAGGTAATCCCATTAACACCCTGCCAAAGCAACATGGAAGGGTGCAAGGCGCTCACTGAATACGCCTCTTCCTGCATCAACCCACAAGTCGCCTCTTCCCAGTGGCAAAGGCTGATTATTTTAGACTTACGAATCTGGGCTGGGGATCATCATAAATACACATAGTTTTTAATATGTTTTCCTGGAGAAATGTTTTGCTTTATTTAAATCTTCTAAGCCCTGCGTCTACAAGCAGTTTTTTCCCCAAACCATCCAATGGTTTAGCAAAAAAGAAAAATGCCTCATGGCACAGAAAAGAACTCCCAGAGAGGAAAATGAGTAGTTTAAATACTTGAACAGAAAATTTTTTTTTCTCATTTACTGGAACTTTCTACCCTTGATACCATTAAAGGCATGAGAACCAGCATGCCTGTCTCTATTAGAATAAATTTGGAACAAGGATATCAACAATGAAAATTTTACTTTTATATACAAAATGTGTTAAACATTTCATAAGAACACTTCAGTGACCCAAAGCAAGGGTCATCCAAACTTTTAAGGGCCAAATACTAAATATTTTAAATTTCGTGGACTTTACCATCTCTGTTGCAACTACTCAGCACTACCACAGAAGCACAGGAAAAGGTCATAGATAATATGAGTCTGCATAGGAGTGACTGCATTCCAAGAAAATTTTTGTTTGCAAAAACAGGTGATGGAACAAATATGGTTGCTGGTCACCAGTTGTAGACTGATCAGAAAGAATGTACCAGTTCTAGTTAACCAACCAACATTCATGGAATGCTTCCTATTCGTTAGACACAAGACTAGCTAGCTGTGAGGGGAAATTTTGTCTCTGCATTTAAAGAACTAACACTGAGATTGAGAAAACAGTAATGTGAGTGCACAAATATAGTGCAAAAGATTAGATGCTGTCATTAGAAGAACACACATGAAAGTAAGGTCTTCATCCTAGGGCAAGAGAAGTCAAAGAATATACAGAGAAAAAGAGACTTTGGAACCACCTATACAAGAATTTCTAGGTAAGTAAGGTAGGTAAGGCATTATTATAATTATATTATTATTATACAGTCAGTGTATCTAAAGCAGTATATGCATGTATCTAAAGAGAGACAGAAATAGAAAGGCAGAGAGAAACAGAGACCAAGAGACAGAGAGAAGGGTACAGAGACACACATTAAGACAAACAAGAGATAAATTAGATGAAATGATAGGGGACAAGGGTAGGAGAAGTCCTGTAATACTCCCAAGATCTTGTTTTGACTGATTAGACTCTGTTCCATTCTGTGCGATAGTAGCAAGTCTGAGGGTATAGGCAACTAATTTGAAGGCAATAAGATTCACAAAGATGCCCATTCTGGTTTGACTATTGTCTCCTTTGGAAGTCCTGTAATGTTCACAATGCCTAAGTTTTATTGGTCTTGTTCTCCACTGTTTTGTCCAACTTTATAATATCTAATGAGATAGACAATTCCTTTTAAGG